AGGTGAAAGGGAAGGTCAGCTTTATTGTCATTATACAATAAAGCAGCGTGAGGAGCAGCATTGCACGCAATAAAAATAAATAAATAAAAAAGTTGCGCTTTACTGCAGTTCAGTGAAATACAACTTTATCCAAATGTGGGTCGACACCTGCACTGCTCTGAAATTTCTAAGTGCATTTCCGTGCTAATAGACAAGCGACAGTGCGGTGAAAGGGTGCAGCGGAGGGTCATAAATTTTAAAAACAAGGTAAAAAGCCTGCATTAATTTAAGCCTCGGGGTTTTTCCAGGTCACCACATGTCTGCTCCATTTTCGCTTTTAGGCCGCAAACCGTGCTCCCGGTCAGTTTAGTTCAAATCTAATAGTGGCAGCATTTAATGTTAGTCAGTGCCGGGGTAAGCTGTTTACCGAATCTGATGTAAAACACCGTTAAATGGTCGCCCCAGGCGGCGCTGGCTCCCAGCCAGGAGACCATTCCTGAATAGAGAGCAGCGGCTCAGAGGCAGGCCTCTCATCACTACGCCGGGTTCTTCTCCTGAGACAGGTAACGAGGTGTAATTGGAAGTCCTTAAACTTGATTTTTGTAGACTCTCTGTTGAGGCGGCCCGACATCCATTATCTCTGCTAATCACTATCCTCTGATGTGAATCCGTAACCACTAATCAGCGTATGAACAGTCTGATCCCATGTGTGGACAGACGGTGCCGGATAACCCGTGATCATTTCCACCTACAAGTGAGCAAAATGGATAAAACCTGGTGATGATGGTTGTAATTTTATATCTCAATGCCACTACAGGGCTGCAAGGTGGAGCGGTGGTTAGCATCGTTGCCTCGCAGCTAGAAGGTCGTCGTCCCGGTGAGGATCTTTCTGCGTGGGGTTTGCATGTTCTCCCCGTGCAGCGTGGGTTCTCTCCGGGTTCTTCCTCCCACATGGTCCAAAAACATGTTGAGGTGATTCTAAATTGTCCGTAGGTGTGAATGTGAGTGTGCTTGGTTGTCCTGTGACAGACCCCAGTGAGGATTAAGCGGTGTATAGATAACAGATGGATGGAGTATCACTATAAATACACACATCATAATGTAGCACACGGGGGAAATCCAGCTGATATTATAGATTAAATAAGTGCGTGTCTGCGGCTAACCAGGTTGAGTAATGTCTGACAAATTTAGGCATTTGTTTACAATCAACAGCGCTGTAAATCCAGAGAAGCAGCGGCAGTCCATTGATTTGCTCACTCCGGCCCGATGCGACCGGCGTGAATTATGTGCACGCTGTCAAAGGTGAGCCAAAGTCTCTCGCTAATATTTTCCAAGCCGGCAGCATTGTGGCGGTGCAGTAAGAGTCGACGCTGCTGCTGCTGCAAACCGAGCAGCTATTTTAAATGAATAACTTTTTTTCCATTATTGATAATTGATGAATTAATATTTTAAGTGAAAATGCCAAACATTTGATGGCTGCAGAATTTGTGGCTTCTCGGCGCGACATCACAGAGAATTAAATATTTGAGGCTGATCGAACAAAACAAGGCGTCAGATGATCAAATGGGGGGTTTAGATAACGACTGGCAGACTCATCACGGCTAAAAATAAGCAGCTGTAGACCCAGTTTACACCCAATCTGCACTGGACTTTTGAGGCTGAGGATAATTTTGATTAGCTAGTGATTGATAACAACAGATAGATGGAAGTAGGCGCCCTCAGCGTCTTTGTAGAGTCATCAGTCTCATCGTGGTGCTGCTAAAAGGACAAGCACATGCAGACTTTTAACCAGAGCTACAGCTAGCAGCGCTGCACAGTTTGGCTGAACGTGACAGTGATTGCACTGAGCAGAGGAGTCCTGCATATTCTGAGGTGTTTCTTCTGTTTTTCTACAACATGAATCTTAAATGAGCTGCTTGGTTTGTTGACTAAACGTTTGTGTATCGTGTGCAGCGAGCGAACAGAGAAACAAGCAGCAGAACAACACGGGATGCTTTAAACCAGAGCGGGAAACAGCGAAAGTTTACATTATTGACAAGCTAGCTGCACGTTAGACGGGGCAAACCATGACTGTTTGAAGTCCCCACATCATGCACTGAGCTAAAACCTTCACTACAAAGTAAGATTCACAAGATTCAAAGTTTTGCAGCGATGCCTTGCAGACTTTGTTCCCCCCCGTTGCACCTCTTAGCCACGTTTTCATTGACCCAACACTACATCGCATGCTACGTCTGCTGGAAACGATAACCACTGGAGGGGGTTTTACCCTGGTTTAGCTCGACACCGGTGACCCTTTCATCCCCATTACATGCACCACGTTTCAAAGCAACGGAGACGCTGATTCCAAATAACCCCTTTGAGATACTACAGGGGCATGTGTACATGTCCATACGGATACATCAGCAAGCTTAGCAGAAGTGGACCACATGGAGCTTCGGGCGGGGAAAAAAGAGCAGAGGTGACTTTAAGTAGAGGTCAGCGAGCTTAATGAGTTAGCATTTAGGATGTTAGCTGCTGTATAACAGAGAATCAGGCGTGCTGTAGCGGATCAGTATCTGTTCCTTCTTCATGCTCTGGATCTCGCACCGCTCGCCTCGCAACAGCTGGGAGGGAAAATCTGACTGAACGGTTTGCAATCTTCACAACGCCGCTCTCTCTCTCTCTTTCTAAATAACAATCGCCCCGGTTAGAGGCCGGCTAAACCGACAAAGTTGTTAATTCTTTCCCCTCCGAAGATGCGACACGAGCGGAGAAGAATGCGGACAAAGACGCGCCACGCCGGAGCGCTGTGTCTAGAACGAATGAATTAATAACCAGCTTTCCACTGCCACTCTTTTTAGCTTTTATCTGATGGCGGCGCACACACACACACGAAGACACAAACACACGAAGACACACACACTCGTACAAGAAATACAAAAAAAACACAGACGTGCAACCATCCTCCTCCTCCTCTTCTTCACACAGTCGCACTCAGGTCAAACTTGGTCAGTATACCCTCACATTCCCAGACAAACTGTGAGTGTGCGTCACTGCGAGAGTGTGTGTTGTGTGTGTGTGTATTGTGTGTGTGCATCTCCACACACACACACACACACAGACAGAAAAGAGAGGTCATTCAGTGCGGAGAAGTGATGACTGGGCAGCTGACACAGGAAAGAAAGAGGCAGATAGAAGGAGAAATAAAGAGAGGGAGAGATGTAGGTCACTTCCCAATTGTCAGTGAGTCATTGCTCTGGATCACACCCAAACACACACACACACACAATCACACACACACACACACACACACAGCGACTGAACCACAATGCCCCTGAGCCTCTGCTTACATGTCGCCGCTGAATGCATGTGTGCGGCTGCGACTGTGTTCGGCCTTTGACCTCTGAACTCGCTTGACACTCTTCATTCCAGTCACGCAAACACGCAAACACACACACACACACACACACACACACACACACACACACACACAGAGGGCAATTCCAGCCGTCTTTACAGCCTGAATTTACGAGCAACTCCCCTCTCGCATCTACACGCCTCCTCTCCGGCCGGCCAGAGTCCACTTTGCACTTTCCCTCTTTATGACTTTGCACAAAGGGGCCGAGTCGCGGTGACATCGCCGCGTCATCGGGCCCCAGGTCTGGACCGGACGGCGTCCCGAGAAGCCGAATCGTAGCAAGCGAGGGGATGTGTTCATGACACACGGGCGACCCGTCTGATGCTAGAATCCTGCTGAGCTCATATTGAGGAAATATCTGTTTCTGTATCAAATGTAAATATTATAAAGCAGCACCAAAAGCTGCTGCGTTTACTGCTTCATGCATCATATTTTTGTTGCTTTAAGTGACATTAAACAACATTTAGCAATAAAAAAGCACAAATCTTGCACCAAATATTGATATTCCTCAAAGCTAAATATCATAAAATGCAGCTCTGATAGCCTCATTTTGCTCGTAGCATGTTAAAACTTCTGAAAATAATCTTTGTGAAGCAGTAGTTTCATTATTAACTGTGCTTTCAGTCATTTTGCCTCCATTTTTAATGTGTTTTTCCCTCCAAAATAAAACCTGAAAGCTCCTTTAATTGCCTTAAAAACCCAAACAGAGCGTTTATCATCATCAACCGCATTTATCTTGGATCAATAATATTATTTCTAGCTACTGATTTTGACTCCTTGATTCCTGATTTGTTGACTTATACGACCTTGCAATAATAAAACGCAATCTGGGACACATCTACGGTTACAACAGACTGCTTTCTTAGTTATTTATTAGGCTTTTTTTCCAATTAATCACTTATTTGTTTGGTGTAAATGGTGACAAAGCTGCTCTTCAAAACTTGCTGAAGCCCAAGATGATATTTTAAAGCTTTTTTTTTGGTTTGTTTTCTCCAACCATCAGTCCATCAAAAAAGCCCAAGAAACCCAGAGCTGCCTGAAAGAAAAAAGAGAAAAATGTCTTTGATTTACGCTCAGGACTTTTCTAAACGCTCCGCTCGTGAGAAGCACTTAAGCCGGAGCTCAGGATGGACCAGATTTGGAGCACGCAGGGCTGCGTTCGGCTTCCTGACCTACTCAGAACGCTCGAGTCGCTGCACTCAAAACAAAAAAAGTTGTATAACAGTGCAAAGCAACAAAGCACTTGACTTCCATTCTCCTGCTCGTAACACCGCCTCAAAGGTGGGTCATCTTAAACCCAATGGAAAGGGGAAGAAGAAGAAAAAAAGAAGCTGTCAGACTCAAAGACGCCTGGAAATCCACACTTCGGGAGAGGATGGAATCAGATGCCAGCAAATCACAAACTGGGGCTGCATGCATAACAGAATGGGGGATTATTCTGCAGAAACCCCTCACATGGGGCAGTAAGGACTCCCTACAGGGGCACTGAGAGGAAGTAGATGATGCCCACTTCCCACTTCACCTGATGTTGGAATAAACAAACAAACAAACATCCCAAATGATGCCCTACTGCTGCTGCTAATGTGTACAAGTCCAAAAGGACAAAAAACCACGTTTCACTCACAGTGGCTGGATCCGCTCCAGTGTCTCCCCGTCACCAGCGAGCCTCCGAACGGCCGCTGGAGCGCCGCCACCCCGGACAGGAGCCCCTTCTCCGGCCCGAGCCCCGGGGGTCTGTGGTAGTAGTCCATGCTGAGGAAGGAGCCCGGGCTGGGGCTGCTGGGGCCGGGGCTCAAACCCACCACATCCACGCTTTCGTACATCCCCGAAAAGGAGGGAGGAAGGGAAGGGAAGGGAGAGAGAGAGAG